GGCTTGGGGGATTAGGAGAAGGACACTTTGGAGCAAGCGTATTATTCCGCCTTTCTCAAGGGAGATACTATTATTTTTCTAGGATGCAGGAAAAAAAGAAGGTTAGGTAAGTAATTTGTCCCAAGACCTTACCATGCTTCCGAGTGGCGATTGAAATCCTGGCATGCTGACGTTAGGACACATTCAACCGCTGTTAACCTGTGTTCTTAACCACGGTGTGTGTAGGCCTGGTTAAGAGTCACACGTTTCAGGGCGCCTGGGTGGCTCAGTTGGTTAAGCATCTGCCTTTGGCTCAGGTCTTGATTCCAGGGTCCTGGGATCGAGCCCTGCATCCGGCTCCCTGCTCAGCGGGGAGTCTGCTTCTCCCTCTCCCTCTGCCTTTCCCCTGCTTGTGCTCTTTCTCACTCTCTCAAATAAATAAATAAATAAAATATTAAAAAGAAAAAAAAAGAAGAAGTGAATTACTCAAAGAGATGTACCTTCTACTCAGTGAAGATGTAGAGCAGGGATTAGTGAGTAATGGTCCACAGGTCAAATCGGGTTCTCAGCCTGTTTTTGTATGATCTATGAGATAATAACGGTTCTTACATTTTGAAAGGCTGCTGAGGAAGGAGAAGAAGAGGCTACAGAAACTGTACATGGCCCACAAAGCCTAAAATATTTAAAACTTGAAAAAAGTTTTCCAGTACCTGATACAAAGCTGGCTGGTAGTAGGTCCCTGACAAAACTGGAAGGAGGAATACATGAGTAAATTACTTGCTGAAAATATTATAAACTTATACAGGTGTCAAGGAACATCTGTGTTTTTACCCCTAACCTTCAAAAGCAATGTCATTTCCATTGATCTAATGAAAAATAGTCTCTTTCTGAAAACAGTAAACCAGGGCGCCTGGGTGGCTCCGTTGGTTGGGCGACTGCCTTCAGCTCAGGTCATGATCCTGGAGTCCCGGGATGGAGTCCCGCATCAGGCTCCCTGCTCAGCAGGGAGTCTGCTTCTCCCTCTGACCCTCTTCCCTCTCGTGCTCTCTATCTCTCATTCTCTCGCACTCAAATAAATAAGTAAAATCATTAAAAAAAACAAACAAACAAACAGTAAACCACAAGGCATTTTCTCACATAAGCAATGTCATAAACAACTTTCAAAGTGAAATAGCAAAAAATAAAAAATAAAAAACATTTTTATAAAATTTAAACTTTACAAAGAATTTTCATGTTCATTATCTCATTTAATCCTCAAATCAACTCCATGAGACAGGTATTACTTTCCCATCAGAAATTACTGCATCCTAAATCTTTAGTGATTTCTCAAGAAAAGTTGAAATCTTGAATGTTACAGCTGTGAACGGTCAGGTTCGGTTTTTTTTTTTTTTCCTATGGGAATACTGGATGCTAAAATCAACAGGTATTTTCAATTCTAGATGGCCGACTAAAAAAACGTATTTACTTTCTGTTCCCTTTGAAATCATCTTTAATCAAAGTGTAGAAATACCAAAATGAATACCAATCAAAGCCAAGAGATTGTGGAAGTCATCAACCACAGAAAGATTTTGATACATTTCTAGAAGGCAAAAAGTGAAATGTAGGAGTGATGAATAGAATGATCAAGAAAAGACCACCCTGAGAAGGGGCTGCACAAAGCCAGTTTACTTCTGCTGAGCCTTGATTATAGTAAAGAGAAGAGAGAAGAGGAGCTGAAAACGAGGAGACAAAAGTTCTTTTAGGGAATAAAAGTTCATTTAATGAGCTCCATGGATCATTCGGTCTGCCCTCCATATTACTCTGTATGAATTACAACAGATTGCCGGCGAGCAAGACAAGGCCACGGGGAATGAATGAGTGGTCAACCACAGGTTGTTAGCTATAGTTCACCGTCACTACTACAAATTCCATCCAAGGCTGCCCACCCATGGCTTCATCTGCCATAACTAGGAGATGACCGCTTTATAAATTGTCAAATGAGAAGTAATCTTCCTGGCATCTATAAATTGCTGTTACTATTAAAATATTTTTATTAATGATTAATCATTTAAAAAAATTACCTTGACAAATTCTGAATCCACATGTTTGTTTCTGCCAAGCCGTATTATCTCAGAATGACCACTTGCCATCTAAATTATTTTGCCTAACAAGGACAAGTAAGAGAATGGTCGATATTTCAAAAAAGCACCTTGTCCCTATTCCCATTTGACAAGAAAAATAAAGAGGTAGATTCTTCTGGGATATCCTTGTCCAAATTTCCTTTTATTGTCCTGAAGTCCTAATACTCATCATATGTTTAATTCTTCCTTCTTGGGGAAAAAAAAAAAAAAGGAAGAATATGACTGTAATTTATGGTTTTCGAACATGTCTGACGTGACCACCTTTTTCAGAGTTTCTATAAGAAATCTTTGCGCAAAATTTGTACAAACTTGCTATATTTGTTCAAACAAACAAAATCAAGAAATTGTTCCTTACTGAACTCTTCTCAAATGATATCAAGGAATTATGGATAAATGTCATAGCTGTAGATCATTTCTGCTCCTAGAGAGGTTAGAAAGGGCTTATAATATTTCTCCTTTTTTTCCAAACAGAATGTGGGTCTGAGTGAGACCTTCTGTGTCCTGCCAACCTCAAAGTTTGTTGGAGATGGAAGTCCAAATTTGCTCTAACATACTGTAAAAGGAATCTCACCAACAGAGCTCTAAAACTAATTCTGTAACAAATGAATCAAGTCCAATGCTATTTTAAACGAAACAAATTAATATATGTAGAACTTTATAATGCGTATATATTTTTTTACTGATCCTATGATTCTTGGTTCTGAAACGTCTGCATGTCATGTTCCTAATGTCGTACATCAGCCCCATGAGAGAGAAAACACTTCAGTAAAGTAAGCCAAAGGGGCGCCTGGGTGGCTCAGGCAGGTCATAATCCCAGGGTCCTGGGATCGAGCCCCACATCGGGCGCCCTGCTCAGCGCGAGGCCGCTTCTCCCTCTGCCTTCCGTTCCCCCTGCTTGTGCTCTCTCTCTAACGAGTAAATAAAGTCTTCCCCGCGCCCAAAAAAAAAACAAAAAACAGCAACGAAGTAAGCCAAAGAAACAAGATTCAAACCAGGTAAAGCCACCCACGTGCAGGACAGGGTTTTTAAAATCTTTATCATGCTGAAGCTTCCGGCTCCTAGGCCATCATATGTAAATCACCCTTGCCAAACAGCCAAGAGTCTGTCTCCTCTCTCGGGCATAAGAATTTCTAGAATCACATTTAGGTGCCAACAGTGTGAGGTGAAGGGTGAACCTGGCTGGCATTCTCACAGTGACCAAATTGTGTCGATCTTCCTTCAATCCATTACCTTGCTCCACTATTAACTTGCAGTGAATGACGTATTTGCTTTCTAGACATGAATGAAATGCCTTACTAGACATATTCCTAGAAGGCCAGAGAAACCAGCTTCTAATCCATATGGAATAATCCACTGGTGCATTCCTTTCAGGTAGATCACAATTTATCTATATACTTATGTATTTATATAAAATCTTCACATATAATCTTACATATTTGGATCCTTCAAAGCAGCCCAAAGACCAAAGCGGGGCTGCAAGGCTGAATTACGACTGTAGCATAGTGCTATGCTGACAACTGGTGGCCCATGACCTCCGTCTTCTCGGATCAGAAGCCAGTGTGCTCCCTGATCGATTTGAACAAAAGAAGACTTCATATTGGGCAGCGCCTGTGCTCATTATACGTACAGCACTGTGCTAAGCACCCTAAGAACTATGAAAAATAAAACTTAAAAAAAAAAATGGTAACACACACTCCTGAGTAAGAGCTCTGGGATCACTCGGGCTCGGTTCGAATCCCGGCTAAGGCATTACCGTCTTTGTGAGCCCAGAAGCGGTCTACATGATACATGCAGTTTTGCCAAATTCCTAAAGAAGAAAGAAAGAACTTGCCTGCCACAAAGGGAGGTCACGGGATGCAGCATCTAGTCGGGTCAGGGTTCGGAGTCGGCTCTGAAACCTCCGCCGCCTGGCAGGTGCCTCTGGTGGCCTGGCTCCCAGGCCTCACGCGGAAGCAGGGCAGTTCCCTCAGGCACAGGGCCATCCCCTCGCAGCGCTGGGAGGCTCCCATGCTTGGCTTGTTTGGCTTGCTCGAGGGAAGGGCTGGCGACACACACCCAGGCGCTGAAGGGCCAGCCGGGGGAGGGGGGGGGGCACTGCAGTCCCACACCGTCCCACACAGTCCCACGCAGTACGCCCCGTGGTGCCCATGTCGGTGCTAACCAACTCCCAATGGCAGCAGGAAGTCTCAAGGCTGGAGGCTAGTGGGCGGGGCTCCGGGGCCTCGCCCTTTGCCCTCTGACTTGTTCACTTCCCGCGCTGGGCATGCCCCGCCCTTCTCTGTAACGTGTTCAGGGGCGCGTCACAAGCGCCAGGCTGCGTTGCCCAGTGCTTGCTTGACCTCGAGAGGAGTAACAAGCTGCGGAGGCTCTCTCCGGGTTTTACACTCCGATCTCGCGATCGTTCAGCGCACAACTTGCACATGGGCAACTTGCTGTGTAAGTTTCGTCCCCCGCCCAGGCGCCGTGTCCTGCCAGGCCTTTTTCGCCCGCGGGCCACTCATGCCTGCGCCGCTGCCCATCCTGGCCGGGGCCACCCTGCTGTTCCTGCACTTGCCCCCTGCCCTGGGCGCGGGCCATGCCAGCGGCATCGTGCGGCTTTACCAGCCAGCTTTCACGTGGAGCCAAAGAGGCGGTATCCGATCCCTCAGGCCGTGTGCTCCCCTCTGGGCCTCCTCCCCTTAGCGAACTGGAGGGACCCTCCGAAAAAACCTGTGCTGTCTGTCCCTAATAACAGGATGTTCAGACCCTCGAGAACTGTGAGGATCCCTCCTCCAGGGCGCAAACTGACTGTCCTGCGTTCGCTACCTGAGCCAGTAGTCGAGGCTGTGAAGCCGGTACCATCCAATCACCAACCCCCTCCGTGCTCAAAGGGGATGGAGGAGAAGGTCCAAGCAGTGCCCAGAGAAGGGATGGAGGATTCTGTAGAGACCAGCGGACAGGATGATGGGAACAGGGCCCCCCCAGGGCAGTGGGGATACACCGTTGACATCCAGGCCCCTGGAGAGCGGTGGAGTGCTCAGTTCCCACCAGTGCAGCCCTGCACCTGTGGAGCAGTCTCCCAATCTCCCGGGAGACAGCTTGGGGGAGAACGCTCAGATATCTCTGGTGAGCTCCCCCTCTGAGGGCCCTGTTGTCACCTCCTCACATGGCCCTGCTGGCGATGTTGTTCCTCTTCTGAAGCCAGATACAGATGCGGTAAGGCTCTCCGACCCAAGCCCAAGCTGCCCCTTGCTGCAGGAGAGATTAACAAAGGAAGTGGGGGCTGAAAACCATCGGCCTATCCAGAGCATACCACACTTACCAGGGAAGGAGACAGAGGGTGATACGCCTTCAGGCATCTCCTCCAAGTACTCTTTTCCACCAGTATCTGCCACCCGTAGGCCCTGCAAAAGGAAAATATCCATGCCGCTTTTTGTGCCTCTGCCATCTCCATTACCACTGCAGTGGGGTAGAGGCGAGTTGCCCCCACCTCCTAAGCTTCCTTGCATAGTTATTGACAAAAACCTGGGCACCCTGAAGAAGACCAAGGGTCAGAGGAATAAGATCTTGGAGGATGGAACAGAGACCCTGGCAGACTGCTGGGCCACTCAACCTGCCCCTTCCTCTTCCCTACTTGCCTCGGAGACTGCAGACTCCCTGCCCCCGGCCACTCACGCTTTCCAAGTCCCCGTTCCTACTACTGACTTGGCTGACCTATCTGCCAGGCCCCCAGTCCCATCTGTCCCTCCATCTTCCCCAACAGGAAATACCGATTCTCTTCCTCCTCTTAGTTCCAGTCCCACTGGGAAAATTCCACTTAAGAATGGACACCCTCTTCATCCAGTCACCGCTGTAACACCTCTTTCGGACCACTCCACACCTCCTAACACCTCAACCTTCTCATTACAGCCGCCCTCCTCCAAAGGAGAATCCCCGACCCCTATGTGTGTAGATTCTCCCCCTCTTTCCCTACCCACCCCTCTTCCAGTCCCTTCCCCAGAGAGCCCTGTTTTTGTGGCTCAGGCTATCACTTCTAAGGCGGTTCCATCTGCCATCACAGCCACGTCATCTGCAAATTTGACGTCTGATGGTACTTCAAATTCGGATGTCACTGACATGGACACTACTCCTCCTTCTCATGCTGTCATGTTCAGATCTCCCCCAGGCCCCGGGGTGAGCTCTCCTTTATTATCCCAGGGCCACTGCAGTAGCAATCAGACACAGACTGCAAAGGTTCCGGTCTCCACCGGCCCATCAACATCGGTGGCCGCCTGCCCCACCCAAGTTCTTAATCAACCCTTCAGCCTCAACATCACCTCTCAGCCCACACAGGGGACCCTGGCGGGGCAACAGCCGACAGGGTTGGTACTTTCC